CCGCGGAGCTGTTAAAGACATCCTTGCGACATGATCTGCGAAGCAGCCTCATGTGCTAAGGAGACTAAGCTGGTGGATTACGGCCTACAAAACAGCGCCGCTCCGTCCTGGCTAATATACATGTCTCAAAGCTCACAACGCGATACCTCATGATTGTGAGAGGCATCGAGGTCTGTTCGCAATTACCAATTCTTATTCCTTAGGGTTCCTTAGTATATTTATACTATAAAGAAGCCCAAAACCCGATTCTAAGTATTAAGGCCCCTAGATTAACCTTAAAACTAAACCCCTCAGCCCAAAGTCGTCAACGCTAAACACACCAACCGGTTTAGGGTTTAGGGTTTAGGGTACCCTTTAGTCGTCGTGGCGCCTGGGCCAAGCCATGTGCCACAGGATTGACGGTGGAGATGGCGAGCTTGCCCCGACCACCGCTGATGGTAGGGCCTGAACTTCAAATACCGGACTCTGGACCAGAGTTCCGGGTCTTGTGGTGGCTTTAAGCCTTTAGGATTTATAGGGTTTGGTGGCTTTAAGCCTTTAGGGTTTAGGGTTTAGGGTTTGGTGGCTTTTAAGCCTTTGGGGTTTAGGGGTTAGAGCTTGGTGGCGTTAAGCCTTTAGGCCTTATGCAGGAGACCAGGAAACATGTGGGACGAATGCCGGAGCTCGTGAGAGGAATAATGACTCTGTGGTTGCCAGTCTCAGAATACGGGAGCTGTGCAAGATGTTCAGCTTTTGCAGGGCGGGGACGAAAGGATTGGGGGGGGGGGGGAGGGAGGAAGGGCACAGTGGGGTTAGGGTATCAAGCATTAGGGTTTCAAGGTATTGGGCGAGAAGGGGCACCTTCTTTGTGACTGATGACAGGAATCACGAAAACCCCAGGTGCAGTAAAAGCCTGAGCTTGCAATGTTAGACTAAGCTTTCAGGTTCTATAACCCAGCTCGGGAAAGAAGAACCCTAAACACAGAGCAGATCGCAGGACCGGCCTCAATCCGAAGGGACCTCGAACCCCCCCCCCCCCCCTCTACAAACCCCGAGTCCCCCATGAATTGGAAGCCAAAGGGGGCTATTGAACATACATACATGTGTGCGTGTGTGCTCGACTTCGAAATTTCTGTAGATTCGAAACCCCAAACCCTAAACCCTGAACCCTGAACCCTAAATCCGAACCCTAAACCCCAAAGCCCAACCTCTAAAACCCGTAAAACCCTAATGTAGGAACCTGATTAAGAAACCCTGGCCCTATAACCCCAATATATTAGGGTTCGTATTAAGAACCCCAATAAAGGCCCCGGGTTTCTTAATCAGGTTCCTACATTACACCCCACGCCCGAAACCCGGAGTCGAATCTGGCCTTCGCCGACGACGCGCACGCGGGATTTGACTTCCCGGGCACGGAGCACTCCTGAGAATCAGCGCACACACACACGATTTAGGGTTTAGGGTTTAGGGTTTAGGGTTTAGGGTTTAGGGTTTAGGGGATTTCGGGTTTACAATCCCCTATATAGTGCCTTAAGCGCAAGACCCGGACCAGAAACCAGAAAAGTGAGTCTGACCTTAAAGCCCAAACCGCAGCTCCACTCTCGAGCCGTGCTGAAGATGGCCCCACTTAAATGGTCGGGAGCCGTAGTACGTAGGTAATAAGTAGAGATATAAGTACCCAAAAGGGATCCTACTTGGGGTTATGATAGGGGTTATGATGCTTACAACTCGATAAAATAACTACTTGCTAAGTCCCCAGACCCCGACCCTCCAAGTAGGGTGAAGAGGAGATGTGGGCTTCAGAACCAGGGCGCCATGGCAAAGCACGTCGTAGTCACGTTCCATCTGTCCAGCCTCAGCATCGGAAGTAGGGTTTTGTAGGATTTAGTAGGGTTTGGGGTTTAGGGTTTAGGGTTTAATTAGGATTTAGGGTTTAGGGTTTAATTGTGGTTTAGGGTTTAGGGTTCCTGCCTTTGTTTGCCAAGGGCTCGGGGTCTACATCGGTCTAAACCTGAACAGAACGGCAAGGCTTCTTTCCACAGTTCAGATCAGTATGGGGTTTGGGGAGGGTTTAGGGTTTAGGGTTTAGGGTTTAGGGTTTAGGGTTTAGGGTTTGGGGTTCAGGATGCAGAGTACCCAGAGACTCCAATACCCCTTAATTAAGGAATATACTTTAAATCATATTGGGGATCCTACTATAATTTAAGGTATATTCCTTAATTAAGGGGTATTGGAGTCTCTGGGTATAGGGCTTGGGGTGTTAGGCTGTACAGGGTTCAGGGTTTAGGGTTCAGGGTTTGGGGTTTAGGGTTAGGGGTTTAGGCCCCAATTTGTCAACGTCCTTTCAACTCAAAGCCTGGAGCCCCTGCAGCCGAGATGCATGCAATTGTACTTGCAGATCGTAGAAGGCCTATGCTTCGTTTGGGGTTTAGGATTCAGTAAGGGTTAAGGATGTAGGGTTTTAGGATTTGGGGTTTAGGATTTCAGGTTTAGAATTTAGGGTTTAGGATTTAGGGCTTTAGGATTTGGGGTTTAGGGTGTCAGGTCTAGGGTTCAGCATGGGTTTGGGGCTTGGGGTTTAGAGTGTATACTGCAAGGGCCTTAAGAATTAGAATAGGGTTTTGGGCTATATTTTACCATAATCATAATAAGGAACCCCCCTTCAAAAAAACCACTATTCTAGTTGGGCTTCCCTTGGAAAGCTGGGGCCGGCAAATGCCCTCAACGGTAAGCCTCGCAGAAGGGTACACTCATAGAAGGGTACACTCATAGACACTATTGCCAGAAGTTCTCTGTATATGTGTAGTTCTCGAAATCGGGGTGACTATTTAGGTCCCCAAAATAGTACGGCACCCGGATAAATAGGATCCTTTAAATTCTATTCTGGACCCGGGTTTAGAGAACCACCCACCCATATTCTGGCGGCCTGCGACACAGGTAGACCCCAAACACTCAACGTTCGAAAGGACAAAACAGAAGAGTCGAATTCAACAGCCTGAACCATTAATGCTCCACTGTCCCCATGCACCGTATACCCTATACCCAAAACCCTAAACCCCTAAACCCTCCAAACCCTCCAAACCCTAAACCATATTGGGGTTTTAGAGGGTGAAGGGTTGACGGTTTAAGAGTTCAGCTTTGCGGAGCTTGGGGTTGAGGGGTGAATGGCTGATGGGGTTTAAGTGGCTTAAAGTTGAGGGGTTTAGTGGTGGGGACTTTAGAGTTTGGAGGTTTAGGGATAATCTATGCACCGTGATGCCCCCTTCACCAAAAGACACATCGTAACCTAAACCCTCAAACCCTAAAAACAAAAAAAGGAAACTAGCCCCCTCTCACCCAAAAAAATGAAAATAAAAACACCAAAAAGAACTCCTTCAGCCGAGCCTTGTAGCTGCTTGCCAAAAGGATAAGACCAGAGCTTGGCACATCTAGCCGATGCCTTCGCTGGGCATCAGGGCTTTGGGTTTCGGTGTTAGGGTTTTGGGGTTTGGACCTCGAAGCTTGCAGCTCTGGCTCTTAGTTTTTAGGGTTTAGGGTTCAGGGCTGTCAGGAGCACCGACACTAAGAAGAGGGTTTGAGGCTTACGGTCCGGGCTGGCAAACTTTAAAGCGCCTCCGGTTCGAGGACAGATGGGGTGTTCGAGCTGACCCCTAGGATTGCGGGGTTTGGGCATTTAGGGTTTAGGGAAGCAGAGTAAGCCTAAACGTGAACTGAGTAGTGGTCCTATGTATCCCCTAACTCTAAGCCAGGACTTTCATTCGCTAAGGCGTTTGAGTTTTAGGTTTAGGGCTTAGGCTTTAAGATTTAGGAATTTTGGATTTAGGGTTTGAGGTTTCGGATAGGATTTAGGGTTCAAGGTTTAGGGTTAAGGATTACCGTAGTCGGCACCTGTTTCCCATCATAAAAACTCCAAATTTCGCTTCCTGGGCATGTACGCATCTTCAGCACCTTTCCTGTGGATCGGGCGAGTCACAAATGTCTCAATTATCGGTTGTGTGTTACACTTTTTCCGTCTGTTCAGAGGTTAGAACGCCAGTTTGGCGACGCTATCTGCCTGACCCCGCAATTGTAGGATTTAGGGTTTATGTAGGCCTCGGTGATGAATAGCATTTGGCGGTCAATACGGCACATATGTGCACAGGGTTAGTTCCAGGTCTTGCGGTGCCGAGAACAACAGTTCTCACTCCACAGCAGTTCTCACTCTCACCCAGAAAACAGGGACAGCAACGCAACCCGCAATGGAATGAGTCCACATGGACACCCGCGCAAAGCCGCTGTACCGCAATGAAAAACGTGCTGCGCAAAAGTGATTTACGACTGAAAGGCTACTGAAGCCGCCGTGAGTTGTCCAAACCCTCCACACTTTCGCTCTTTTTGCCAAGCGCCTTTCCACATCGGTCTGCCAAAAAGGTATGGAAACAGCATGAGACAAACTAGTTCTGAGATGCGTACTGCTTGCAGCAAGATGTTAGTGTTTCAAAACGCAAGCCGGCAACGAACGCACAAAGCACACAACTGCATAAGTGTATGAAAGGCTGTCTCCGGCTAATGCTGGCGAGTTTTGTCAGATGTCTTGCAACTCACATGAAGATGTTCCGCTCAGCATCGCACGAGTCGAAGAATGACAAACGACAAATCAAGAGGCCTCCACTGCCAAATACAGATGCGCCTGACCCTAAACCCCAAACCACAAACCCTCAAACCCTCAAACCAAAGTCCAATTATCTCTCCAAGTTCCTACGACATGTGGACTCTTAACTTAACTCCAACCCCAAACCTAAGAACGGAAATCAAACCTCAGCTCAGGTACAGAAAACCATGATTATGCCGTGCATCGCCGTAGATTGGGTGGCGGCCAAAACCTCAGATGTTTATACGATAGAACCCTTGACTCGAAATCACGCTGTTGACAGTGCTCCACTTATACAGTAAACATTGCTGCGTCACTGGTGCTTTATGTTCCTATTCTGACTCAAGAACAGTGTTCACGCCGCGACACCTAGGGTGTCGACCCTGTCGTTTGTTTTTTCTTACAGACACGGCTTGCAGCATTCAAATGAGATTCATGCAAGGGTATGCTGGAATTGGCAACCAAAAACTTGAGTCCAAACGCTGACGTGCAAAGCAACATGGAGCACCTGAACCTAAACCCTAATCCCTGAGTCCCAAACCTTAAACCCTAAACCTCCGAATCCTCAACCCTAAACCAGTCCCTGAGCCCCAAACCTGAAACCCTCAACCTCTGAATCCTCAACCCTAAACCATAAACCTCTGAAGCCGTTTGCCGCAGGCTCTCGGCGCCACAGAAGCCCAGTTGCTGGCACGGGCATAGTCCAGGAGCTGAGGGTCCACGTGGCCGCCATAGACCTATCCGTAATTTAATAAAGTTTGGGTCTAGGGTTTAGGGTTAATCAAGTCGATTAAATCTATTATGTACTTAAGGGGATTTTCTCCCAACAGAACCTATTATTCTGATCATTACAAGCCAAGAAGTATGTACAAACATGCGGCTCAAAACAACAGCACCACGTCAAGGTAATCTCACGTATTACTGGGAGAGGCTGAAAGCCTTGGTGTGCCAGCATCTGGAACTAAAAGGATCTAGCCTTTGAAGAGCGTGTTGCTCGACAATTTGGAGACAAGTATCATTGTCGGGATCAAACATGCTAATGGACCTGAAGACTTTTTATATGCTTCGGCATGTGTCTCCAGCAGCCGGTCAGATTTAGGGAGGCCCACCCTCCTTGTCAAAACAGTCCCGTGCCTTAGGTTGTTGACCCTAAACCCTAAACCCCCTGGTCTAAGGGGTCTGATCTTGATGATCTCAGGATGTGACTAAAAAGCCTCAATGTAGCCATGCTCCATGTGTAGGATGAGAAGGAGGAGTAGAAGCAGAAGTAGCAGAAACACAACCAGTAGAACTTAGCTGCAGGAGTTGTGGAAGTGGCCTTACAATCACTAAAAGCTATGGCCACAGTGGTAGTACTGCTGCTCTGTCCTGCGGGCCCTACGTACCACCTCAAAGTCTAACTGTCTTTCAAAATAAAACCTAAGCGATCAAACCAAAATGCATCCTGCTACCTAAACCAGAGATCCTCAATCCCACCGCTTGATTCGCCTTTTAAAGCCACTAGATCCTAAATCGTAAACCCACAGTGGATCCCCACACCCAAGCTGCGAATGCACGATCCCAGACCAAACCCTAGAATGTAGACCCCGGAGTAATGACCCCCTCCCTATATGAAGACACTAAAAAATACTGGGTTATGGGTCAGGGTCTACACTACCAGCAACCAAATCATTAAGCTAGGGGTGGGAATTCTTAATTACCGATATCATTCCCTGGGGCTACTTATTACACAGATACGTACTCTCATGTACCCGAAACCCTGGTCTACCATTCAGGCCCCGATATTGATTGTCTAGATTCCTGAGTGAGCCCTCAATAATGGGGATACCCTTTTTCCTACCATTCGGGCTTCATAAGGGAACCCTACAATAAAAAGGGCAAAAGGGTACTACTCAGGAACCTAGCTACGGTTACAACCGGCAGGAGGGCCTCCCAACCTGCTGGCTTAAACAGCACCGGACGGTCCTGCGAGGGACATGGGCTTTGGGTTTTGGGTCTTAGGGTTTGTGACAGGCTCATGAATTCGAGAGTTCGGGGCAGTCTTTGGGCTTTGTGGCTTGGGGGTTTAGGGTTTAGGGTAAAGTGCGAATTTATTGGTCCAGGCCCTAAACCCTAAACCGGGTTGGGCTTTGGGGGTTTCAGCTCTGGCTATGAAACATAAACGGAAGTTGGCGCTCTTGTTAACGAGCTCAGTCTTGGTTACTGCAAGATGGGGTCTATGGTGAAACTGACCCTTCCTTTTCCATGGTATCATGATTAAGCCAAGTTCCTCACCCAAAAACCCGTGAATTTGGGTCCGAACCCAGTGGGATCTAATGGCCGACAATGATACAGACATCCTCAAACAAGCTTGCAAGAAATTTCGAACCAAACAAAGCACAGATCGGAGACCCGAATCCTGAACCATAGCGGAAGCGGGAGACAGGCCCAGGCGACAAACGTCACCGCAACATCGGAGACAAGCTTGCGGCTTTGGGTGCACCCGGAGGTCTTATGTAGTAAACCGGCAAAGAAGGGAAGTCCATCAGAAGGGACTTGTCAGTGTGGTATGATAGCAAGCCTGTCTCGACTTGCCTCACACTGGGAGCCAACTGCTGAGCGCCCAAACACTGCCGAAAAAAATTACATGCCCAAAAGGGATGCGACAGGGTCGTGTTTCCCACGAACACATATCACGATCGCAACAGTATGTGCCCTGCGGAAACACAGAACCAAAACCATCAAAGTCTAAAGCAGCTTATGCACTGCTCTGAAGTATACAAGAGCTAACATGTGTCAGACAAGAACTTCAAGATAACATCCCCAATCACCAGCCCTTATCATCAATAAACCGTCAGATTTCCGAAGCCTGAAGTTCAGAAGCCCCATAACCGGAACTGAACCCTACTAAACCCAACCCTAAGGGTCCAAGTACCTAATAATCATATACTCTCCCAAATATTGACCTAGATAACTACCATCCGCAACCAAAGTACCTGATTATTGGGTCCTTTGGACCCTTAGGGCAATGTCTTGAAAGAATCTCAGCCGGGAGAGCAGTCCGGCGACACGAGCGCGGTATACGGCTGGGCAAGGCCAGCGGGAGGGCGGAGCCCTGCCTCCGGGAAACAATCTCTATACTTGGAGGGTGGTGAGACTTAGTTATAGGGTCCCTAAGGCCGCGAGGGTGTTGCAAGCTTGTGCTCAGAAGGTCATTTACGTTGATGCTGCCACCGCGCACACCTGGAGTCACCCTTGAATGAAACTTCAGCCGGATTGCAGGCAAGCCCTAAAAAATCCTAAACCCTAAACTATAGACCCTAAGCGGTGAATATCCTCAAACCATAAAGGCCGCTACAAAAGCTGAGCCCCAACAACCTCGGATTGGTCACTTCGACACCGGATCCCCTATTACTGGGGCGAGAAAGGCGAAAGAGAGCGGGTTCAACTCGAGACGTTGTATATCTCTGCAGGTTCGAAAAACTCGTAGGACCCCCCGGCCAGAGGAAAGCCAGTCCAGAGCGATCGTTCGAATGCCACGCGCGCCGGACAACCACCTCTTCGTACTCGGAAGCTTCGGTGGCGAAGCCCTCCTCAGACCACACAGTGCACCGGTTTCACAGTTCTTCCTGCGGCACAGCGGTGAACGACCAAGCGTCGGACCGGGCCACTTGCCTCCGTCTCGCAGCCGAGCTCGAAAGCTGCATCGGTCTGTCACTCACCCTCGGACACCCCAGTTTCATGCCAGCACCCACGCACCTGCCAGTTTAAATCAGACTGCGACATGCTAAAGACCTCTCAACGTCCTTCGGCGGCGGAACGAATTTGTAGACGGGGTGGGCCAAGAGCTGGAGCAACGCAAGCTGCTCTGCTTGGGTCATGCTCAGAAACTGCACAACCGCCCTCCGGCGAGCCTGCCCAGAAGGAATTAAAATTTAGAACCAGCGAACAGCACAGCCATGCCCTTTCGGAGCACATTTCAATCCAGGCCCCGACCCCGTATATTGCCGGCCGCCCCTAAACCCTAAACCCTAAACCCTAAACCCTAAAACCCTAAACCCTAAACCCTAAACAGCAAGCCCAGGGCATAGACAGCTCGATCCGAGGATCCCAAACCCTGATCCCCAAGCCAAGAACACAAAAACCCCGAAATTGAAACCCCTAACCTTGAAACCCCTAGACACTAAACCCCTAAACCCCAAAATCCCTAAACCCAAAGTCTTAAACCTGAAGCCCTAAGCCCTAAATCCCCAAACTCCTACCATGGTAGCCCTTGCAGAGCCACTCAAAATAACTCCTAAACTCCTAAACCCTAAACCCTGGACCCTAAACCCCTAAACCCTAAACCCCTAAACCCTACACCCTCCATGGAACCCTGAAAGGACCTCCGAAACTCTCTCTAACAAACAACCACGAACCTGAGTTGGGTTTATAGGGCTTATAGGGCCTATAGGGTAGGGTTGAGTATCAGGGCGGTGTAATATGGGGGGCCTTAATAATTGGAATAGGGTTGTGTGTGGTATATAATACTAGAACTATAATAAGGATCCCCCCAAATAGTATGTGGCAATTATTTCGGCCCCTATATTCGGGTTTAGGGTTCAGCTTGCAAGCGCAGCCCCTCCTGCTTCGCCGCCGCACTTGGACGCCTGAGGTCGAAGGTGGCGGCAAGCTTGCCAAAGGCGACTCCAACCGCGTCCCTTGGGGTTTCACGGTTTGGGGTTTAAGGGTTTAGGTTTGGGGTTTAAGGTTTTAGGGTTTGCTTGTCGTGTAAGGCTTGGGATTCAAGGGTTTGGGTTTGGGGTTTACGGGTTTCGGTTTGGGGTTTAAGGGTTTAGGGTTTGCTTGTTGTTTAGGGTCGTTAAACGATTCAAGGCTATGGGCTTTAGAGTTCAACAATTCCTTTAGTTCCTATAAAAAGGCTCCTGTAAGGGCTCTATAGTTCTATCAGGATCTAGGTTACAAGGGAAACGGTAAGGATTTCAGGATTCAGGGTTGTGGGAGAAGGGTTGACGGTTGGGGATTGGAGGCTCAGGCTCAATAGCAAAACCCGAAACTTGAGGGGTTCCTCTAGGGGTTCCTGTAAGGGTTCTATAAAAGGAACCCTTAAAGGAACCCTCAAGGAAGCCTGGGAGGAACCCTGAAAGGATGCCTTAGACGGAACTCGAAAAGGAATCGTGAAAGGAACCCCCAAACAACCGAAAGACAAGCTGCAAGAAAGGACGATGCAGGCAACCGGCAATCTTGCAGGCGAAAACCTTCGCGTGACAACCAGGGTTTGACCGAAACCCCTAAACCCTAAAACCCTAAACTCCTAAACCCTAAAGCCCTAAAGCCCTGAACCCTAAAAACCTTAAAGCCCTAAACCCCTAAACCCTGAAACCCTAAAGCCCCAAAACCCTAAAGGCCTAAACCCCTAAAACCCCTAAACCCCTAAACCCCTAAAACCCCTAAAACCCCTAAAACCCAATAGCCCTAAACCCCTAAAGCCCTAAACCCCTAAAGCCCTAAACCCCTAAAACCCTAAAACACCAAAACCCTAAAACCCCTAAAGCCCCGAAACCCTAAAACCCCTAAAGCTCCGAAACCCTAAAACCCTAAAACCCTAAACCCTAAAACCCTAAACCCCTTAACGCTGCGGAGGCTTTCGGTGGAGGAGCTTCGGGCGTCGGTGAACTTCAGAGTTTCGAGGCTTCGGGGACCCAAAAATTACGACGACCCTTTAATCTTTCCTTGGGTTAGGGGTTTAGGGTTTAGGGTTTAGGGTTTAGGGTTTAGGGTTTAGGGTTTAGGGAAGGCTTGGCGTTTTTTCCCGACTAAGGCCTATCGTCATTCAAAACACCCCAAAGCCCTAAACCAAAAAAACAAACCCCTAAACCCTAAGCCCTAAACCCTGGAGAAAAAAAACTGGGCCTTAAAGCCCCTAAATGATCGACTGTTAGTACACGTCACAAACCTCAACTCTACATATACTGCCGAAGCGCTGGCAACCAGAGAAGGTGTCCCGGTGCCAAGTGTGCCATGACCCTCAACCCTCAACCCGAAAACCGCAAACTGCAAACTCTGTCCTTAACCGGTTTAGGGTTTCAGGTTTAGGGTTTAGGGTTTAGGCTAAACCCTTAAACCCTGAACCCTACAGCCCAAAAAAAAAACGAGCTCTAAACCCCAAACCCTAAAAACCTCAAAACCCCTAAACTCCGCAAGCCTGCACGTGAAACCATACAGCACTGCAGGCATGGGTCGAGTTAGTCCAAGGGCTGGGATACTGTAGGAGCCTTTTAGGGATTAGGGTTTAGGGCTTGGGGTACCTAGAACAAGGGTTTGGGGGGGGGGGAAAGTCTAGGCTTTAGAACTTGACACTTTCGGGCTTTTGGGTTTCATCACAACTGAGGGATTAAACCTAAACCCTAAAGCCCATTCCCATCAGTGTGTCTTAAGGATTGGTCTGAGGGGCCTGTCAGCTTTTCAAAGAAGGCGGCTCACGAGACGTATGTGACCTATGTTCAAATCACCCCCGGTTACCCCAAAGCCCTACAATTCTGAACATCCTCAAACTTATCCAACTTCCTAGGGGAACTAGGTGTCCACCTTTGGCATCCCTTCACCACCACTTGTAGTACCCCAGGGAAGCAAAATTTTACTGACACGGCCAGGTCCCTTAACCCTAAACCCTGAAACCCAAAGCCCTGAACATCTACACCTCTGAAGCCCTAGACACTAAACCTTACTTGCCCAATGAGCCAGGAAATAAAAGGTTAAACTTTTCAGATTACTACTAAATTATAAGAACCCAAACCCCTAAACCCTAAACCCTAAACCCATAACCAGGTTGGGTATTGGGGAACTTAGAAACCCACAAGTTTGTGGGGTTTCGGCCAGGCAGCCACAGCCAGAAAATCTCGGCCCTGCCGGTGGAAGCCCAGACTGGCCCACTCCTCACCAGGTGACAATAGGGGCCTAGGGTTTAGGGTTTAAGGTTTAGGGTTTAGGGTTTGGGTTTAGAACGTGGTTTTGGAGTATACCACTAGTGTAAGTATCCTAAACCCTAAACCGTAAACCCTAGCGAATAATATCGGCAATGAATCCATGACCCTAAGATAGGGAGGGACCTTGATAAGCGGGTGAGATTATACTACGCTGGCCCCTCAAAGCCTCTGAAAAAGAT